AAAAAAAAAAAAAAAAATCTACTTAGCTGATTTTACAGAGTTGTATGAGGATCAAATGAGATATACTCAAGTAATATACACATGTGAAGTTAGCTGCCTTAAATTGAAGTATAAATGAATTTATTGGTGAATCAGTCATGTATAAACATAATTTATTATTATCAAGTATTGAACATCCTCTCTAGTGATTTCAATATGGGTGACTAGAGATATGGTCCTCAGGGACTAGGTGATCATCCATCTCTGCTTCTACCATGTGGAATCTCTATTCCAGCTCCATGCTCAGAATGCCAGGTCAGCATGTAATCCAGCTCCATTGTGTGGACAGTTTCAGTAGGACAAAGGCCCCAGCATAGCACAAGCCAATCCAGCAGCCCCTTTGGCTAGTGTCTGAGCCCCCACCCCCCTTCTCTCTCTTTCTCTGGTTATGTTTTGCTGACTGCTAACTCCTGACAAAGTCCAGAATAATCACCAAGCTCTGAGTGCATCATCTCTCTCCCATAGTTAAGGGCTCCAATTAGCACTTGAATCAGGCCATGGCCCCCACATGTTAGAAATGGAGTAATCCAAGAAATAAAATGATAAAGGGATTAGCCTGTCCTATCCTTGCTTCTTTCTCTCTCTTTCTTGCCTACAGAGTCAGAAACAATCCCAAGCCAGGCAGACCAATGCTCACTATGGGTCGGGTCCTGTTCCAAGCACTTTATATTTGTTATCTCACGTATTAGTGTTCCCTAGGGTTGCACCTTCAGTTCATTCCCTACTTTAGTCTATACCCTCTCCTTGGATGACCTCATCTACAATCACCTCTCTCTTTAAATTTATATCTATTTTCACCTGGTTGTCCCATAGACACCTGTCCAAAACTGAACTAATTATCTTTCTCCCATCCAAACATGTTTCTCCTTCTCCCCTTAAGTCAGAAACCTATGAGTCACCTCTGACTCCTCTAATCCTCTCACTCCCATCTAATCAATGACCAAAGCTCTACCAATTGTACTTCTTAGATAGCTGAGTCCACACCATGTCTCACTTGAGAACTCTAGTGGTGTCAGACCATGTTTGTCCCTCTTACTAGTCTCATCCCCTCCAATTCATTCTCCCTGCTGCTGCCGGCTATATTTTTATATGAGTACCTGTAATTTGTCATTTCCCTGTCTTCCCTTCAATGGCTCCTGCATGCCTAAAAAACTCCTCATCATGGCATAGGTGGCCCCTCATAATCCAGTCTCAACTTTTCCAACTGCTCTCTTTAGCTCCCCAACATAAGACTCTGGCAATATTGTGTTCCTTGTGGTTCCTTAAACACTTCATTCTATTTCCCGGTGCTTTAGCCTAAGCCGTTTCCTCTGCCTCAAATATCTTTCCCCCTTTTATCTGTTAAATAAAATTTGGTCATTTTCTAATTATTATGCATGAAAGTTAAGAATTATAATACAACAAGCAACAAGGCAAGTAAATCAAATGAATGATGAAGGTAAGTTTATCAGATGAATGGTCTGTCTGTAAAAGTGAAATAGTATAAGAGATGGCAGGTAAAGCAATTCCCCGAGTAGGGAATGAAGTAATGGATGTGTCTTAAGTCAGCGCAGGGATGTGCAGTGATTGCTTCAGCCTTCACTCCAGGATGGAACTGACAGAGAAATCCTACGAAACACAATCCTGGAAGCTTCCTCTCACTACTACCAAAATGCAAAGTATTGATAGAGCAGGACTTTTCTGAAGGAAATCTCTCCTCCAGATACTTTGCTCCTAGGCTTAATAGGAAACAAACCTCTCCCCTCACTTATTAAGCCGACTGAAAAGTCTGGGCCAGGCTGACCCCTGGTGGACATAATCAGCTACTACATCCCAAAATGTAGGCACAAAACCATCTCCTTTTATACTCATTTAGTTATTCAAAAACAATGAGCACTGTGCTAAACGGAATACTGAGGCCTTGGGGCACAGAGAATACAAGACTTAATCCCCATTCTTAAGCATTCACAACGTAACAAGTGAGATAGGTAGCTGTCTATTTATTTAAATGTTCCCTTTGTAGCACTGGGGAGATGGGAGACCCATTAGAAGTCCCATGCAGGGACCGGGTGCGGTAGCTCACGCCTGTAATCCTAGCACTCTGGGAGGCTGGGGTGAGAGGATCGCTTGAGGTCAGGAGTTCCAGACCAGCCTGAATAAGAGCGAGACCCTGTCTCTACTAAAAAGTAGAAAAAAAAATTAGCCAGGCAACTAAAAATAGAAAAAATTAGCTAGGCATGGTGGTGCCTGTAGTTCCAGCTACTCGGGAGGCTGAGGCAGGAGGATCACTTGAGCCCAGGAGTTTGAGGTTGCTGTGAGCTAGGGTGACATCATGGCACCCTAGCCCAGGTAACAGAGCGAGACTATGTCTCAACAAAAAAAAGGTGGGGGAGTCCAATCCAGTAGTCCAGGGGAGAAAAAAATGTGACAGAGATTCAATGATAGTCAAGGACTCACTGGTTTCTGGGCAATTGGCTGGATATGGGTTGTAGTTCAGAGTCAGAGAATCTAGGAGGAGGTGGAAATTGATGTAGGAAGATGAGGTTAGCTCAGTTTGCAGTGACTGGGGGAACATCGAGGTAGAAATGCCCAATAGGTTATTGAATATACAGATCTGGAACTCAAAAAATAAATATAGGGTATATGAATTAAAATAAAATCTTAAGGCTTTCTGCCACCGGCTGACTGAATGGACCCCCTCTTGGCCAAGGGGATATCCTAAAACTAAATTTCCTGCCAGGAGGAGGGCAGTCAGACATGCCTCATCATGCCTGCCTCCCTTCTTGGAGACATCCTTTATAACCCATTAACAGGCCTAAGGGTATGCAAGACAAACTTGCAGGTCCTCAATTTACACAACAAATATATGTCCGGTGGCTTGTCTCTGATTAACAGAGCTCCTTATCTTAAAACATTCCAAGCCTTTAGACAAAGCTCCATGGTTCTTTAACCAATTACAAGCTGAAGAATCTTTTTTTTTCTTTTTTTTTTATATGGAACGCTTCACGAATTTGCGTGTCATCCTTGCGCAGGGGCCATGCTAATCTTCTCTGTATCGTTCCAATTTTAGTATATGTGCTGCCGAAGTGAGCACTAGTCAAAGAATCTTTAAACCCACCTATAACCTGTAAGCTCTCACTTGGAGATGGCCCATCTTTTTGGCCGAACCAATGTATGCCTTCCACATGTTGGTTTATGACTTTACCTGTAATCCCTGTCTCCCTGAAATGTATAAAACCGAATTGTAACCCAGCCACAGTGAATCCACTGGCTCCAGGTCATGGCCCTCAAATTTGGCTCAGAAGACATTTCTTTAAAATTATTTTACAGAGTTTGTCTTCTTTTCTGTTGACAGGTAGATATTTTGAAAGTCCTTCTACAATAGGTGACAGTAGACTGCACCAGAGTAGATGAGAAATTCAGAGAGAGTATGTATTCATATTAGGCAAGAAGATATTAACTGAGATCTTCAACAGGCTGGGATTCCCTCACCTGCTTAACCATTTCTGCTTTTCTGGCCGTAGCTGTTACTTTAGGGAAGTCTCTCCCCACGGCTCCCATATACTATATTTGAGGCTTCTCCTTTGTTTCCTGAGCATCCTGTAATCACTTCAACCACAGCAACTAGTTTAACCAGCCCCTTGACTGAACAAATTTCAATGATCCCTAATATAATCCTCTCCTTTAACTACTTGACCTTTTGAGTTATTTCCCAGAAATGGTGGATGTTCTGCAAGACAAAGGAGTTGAGATTACAAAAGCCCTAGAGCAGGATTCCTGTGGTCAAGAATGGCCTTCTCCCCAGAACTGCCCCAATGCACAAGCCCTTTGTGAGACACACCATTACCTGCCCCAAGGCACATGGCCCCTCCTTTAAAAGCCCATGACATTCCTTAGTGTGGTGACGGACTTGAGGCAGCTTCTCCCATTCTCTGGGCAAGATGTCTGTCGTATTAAGAATTTGTTTCTTCATTGGCAATCCTTGTCTCAATAGTTGGATCTTTGTGCAATGAGCAACTAGATCTGGACGAAACCCCCTTGCGGTTTCAAAATAGTGAATCGTATTGCAGTGGCCATTGTAGGCCCTGGAAAGATGGAACTATGTTTTGTGAAGCTATATCTAGATTATCCTCATTTAATTTTTACTAAGATCTAAGGGCTGTATGTAATTTCTATTTTACAAATGAGAACACTAAGGCTCAGAGAAATGATTTGTCCAAAATCACCCAGGGGAGTCAGGATCAAATCTAATTACTTTACTGTTTAATTCTATATTTTTAAGCAACTGGTTACACCATCTCTCTAAAAGTCCTATTTAGTTCAAACATGAGCAACATTCCCCTACACAGAAAAACTAAATAAACTGCAGCGGGGGGTGGAACCAGAGCAGAAATCACTAAGATGGTTCCTGCCTGCCGTGCATTGGCTCCCGCGCGTCATCATGCTGCGCCGCCGCCTCTCACGCACCACATGACAGGCGAGCAGGCGGGCGGATGGCAGGATCTCTAGGCGGGGGCGTGCCCCGTGCATCCATGGCGCAAGATGGCGCTGCCCTTTGCACGCTCTTTGCGCTTGTGCAGCTGGGGAGCCAAACGATTGGGGATTGCCGCTACAGAGGCCCGGAGAGGTAGGGTTATCTCTTTTTACTCTCTTTTACCTCCAAAACGGTTTCCGTCTGATTATTCCCTGAGCTCGCTCCGAGGTGAACTACTCCAACCCTCTCGGGTCATTTCCCTTTCCCCGTCTAGGATGGTCTTGAGATTCCAAATCTGGGACATCATTTGATTTCTTTAAATCCCGGGCTTTCCCCAGTCCGAGTTTTTCAGTTCTCTGGGCTACCCATACTAAAGCGACCCCACACTCTTGCCCGCTTGCCATTCTGAGTCTTCCCTATTTCCTCAAGATCCCATGTCTGCCTGCTTCAGATGGGAATATATCACCAGCCCTAGGGTTCTAGCCTCTGTTATTATCCCGTTTTTTTGCTCTGCCCGCAGGCATCAGTTTCAAACTGGAAGAAAAAACCGCCCACAGCAGCCTGGCACTCTTCAGAGGTGACACAGGTGTCAAATACGGCTTGGTGGGATTGGAGCCCTCCAAGGTGGCTCTGAATGTGGAGCGCTTCCGGGAGTGGGCAGTGGTACTGGCAGACACAGCGGTCACCAGTGGCAGACACTACTGGGAGGTGACAGTGAAGCGCTCCCAGCAATTCCGGATAGGAGTGGCAGATGTGGACATGTCCCGGGATAGCTGCATTGGTGTTGATGATCGTTCCTGGGTGTTCACCTATGCCCAGCGCAAGTGGCACACCATGTTGGCCAACGAGAAAGCCCCAGTTGAGGGCATTGGGCAGCCAGAGAAGGTGGGGCTGCTGTTGGAGTATGAGGCCCAAAAGCTGAGCCTGGTGGATGTGAGCCAGGTCTCTGTGGTATACACCATACAGACAGATTTCCGCGGTCCAGTCGTACCTGCCTTTGCTCTTTGGGATGGAGAGCTGCTGACCCACTCAGGGCTTGAGGTGCCTGAGGGCCTCTAGTATGTCCATTACTGGAGTCCCTAATCATGCTTTTGGCCAGCCTCCTTTTGAAAGTGTCTGAAGCCTTTTTACTTTGCCCCAAGCAACCTCTAGCTCCCACAATTCATTGTTGGGTCCTCTGTGCAATATCTTAGTCATCTTCCTCTCTCCCCTACCCTGTGAAAGCTAGGCATACAGCCAGCTCCCCTGTTCTCCCAACTACTGCCAATTTCCTAGGCTACCATGGGTATATTTTCCCTGATTTGCTTCCTTTCGTTCCCTCCACCTCCCTGTGTCCAGGCCTTTCTCAGACTGTATTCAGTCCTGAGGTCTTATTTTTCAGCTTTGTTTGAATTTGTCACTGTGATACCTCTCCCTTCTTTTGCCCATATGTAACTTGTTCTTGGGGCTCAACTAAATCTCTCCAAAGCAAATCGTTTCTACCTCTGGCTGGAAGATTGGTGCAGTCAATGACTTGGCTGTTTCTCTGCAGCACATACAGAGTCTGGCCTATGGCTCCCTCAGTAAGTGCTTTATTGACTTAGTGTGTCTGAATGAGAACAGAGCCCTCCTTCCCTAGTATCTCAGTGCCATGCATAGACCCTCAGCCCCACACAGCAGCAGCTGTCTTCACCCTGAGAACATCTACCTTAATCTGTACACCTCTGACACCCAGCCAATCTGTCATAGTCATTGTCCCAGCTATGACTGTGACCAAAGGGGAAGAGACACTTGGGGGATATCTAGGGGAATTAATGCTAGAAACTGTTTATTCTTGAGAAGCTTCATCTTCGTTTCCGCTACAGTTGGAACTTCCTGAAGAAGGAGGGAGGCCTGAGGTTTTGCACAATCCATTTTTGGGCCTGTTGACACTCAAACTTCCACACCCCTTGGCAACAGAATACACTTAACCTAAAACAGTATTTGGGGTTGAGAAAAACCTGGTGGGGTAAGTGAATATGTATGTGAAATATGTATTGTTTGGGCTCTGTCTGACCCTGTGCTTCCATCTTATTCTACCTTCTATGATGGTGATGAAGCTGGATATCCCTAGGGGAGAAAGAGAAGTACTGGGTTTAGCAAAAATAATTTGTGTAATTAAAGTTTATTTGAACATAAAATACTTTCTCTGTCTATAAAATAGCTGTTAGCAGTAGCAGCAGTATGTCTTGGCCAAGGGGGGGGGCTGATGTCTCCAGACTCTGTCTGCTGAGGGAATAGCATATTTTGACTCTCACAGAAAGCAATGGCCTAAGTCACCAAATGACTTTCTTGGTCCCCACTGAAGCAGTGTAGTTCTCCATAGCATTTTTGGTGGTTATAGGTTAAGTGTGTGGCCACCTCATGCTTTTTCTCAAGCAGGGACTGTCCACAACCAGTGCTCACACCATGCTCTCTAAGTTCTCCTTGGACAAGGCCTCAGCTGCTGCCTCAGCCTGAGTCTCAGAGAGTATGTAGGAGTCCTGGTAATCTTGAAGTAGTTTGACCACCTCCAGGTGGTTGAACTGCACAGCATCATCCAGGGGAATGTTGCCCCACCTGAGAGGAACAATGATCATAATCAGGCAAAGAAGACATGGAAAGTGCAGTGGTTGTAAACGTGCATGGTGGGTGGACGGCAGTGGTGTGAAGCTGCGCCCACCCTCTCACCTCCCTTTTAGCCTAATCCTCACCTGTCCTTGACAAAAGGATTCACTTTGCAAGCCTCAATCAGGAATTTAACAACTTCAGTGTGTCCTGGGAATATAGACAGAAAGAAAATGAGAGCGTATAGGTCCTGAACCCTTTGGTGCAGACCCTTGGCTGCTGGAGTCTGTACCTAGAGGGGAGGGGAGAAGGCCTCTTCCCATTTCGCTCCCTGCAGCAGTCAATATTAGTCTGGCCACAAACTGAAGGGCATCTGGACAAAACTACTTGCTGCCCCTATAACCTTGAAGGCACATAAAATGGGGGTACTCTTGGTAGAAAAGAAAGGGTCTTACGATTTGCTTCCCCTCTTTAACCCTTCAGATACCTTCAGCTGCAGCAACATGCAGAGCTGTGCGAGAGTCGTAGTCTTTCTGTTCCATATTCATGGCTGACAAGGCAAATCTGAGGGTAGTGGAAAGCAGCTAGAGTTATCTAGATCAGTCTGGAATCACTAGTGTCCTTTCTGAAGTGGGATCAGACTGGATGAGTTCCATAGAGAGTAAAACAGCTTATGCCAAGATTTGTAGGCTCTGAATAATGTATGTTCTATACTCAGACTAGACTGTTACTCTCACATCAGAGATAAGGGAGTTGATGCTTCCAGAAACATTACTGCCTCTCTATAGTAGGTGCCCAGTACACATTTGTTGATGTTGGTAATCCATTTGAGGCAGGGTCCCTACCTCCTAGGCCTCTGCTCTTAACACCCAAGTTAATAATAGTGGCTACCAGTAAGTTCTTATCCTATGGCAGACACTTTACTTTTTAAAAAAAAAATCTCATTTAAATGCAATTTATATCCAATCTATTCTGTCCAACTCCAAAACTAAAACACTTAACTATTTTGCCATGTTGCCTCCTAATAAGATCTCTGATCAGGAATATTTTATTGTGTATATTTGGTCACAGAAATACCTTCGAAGAGCTGAGACATCTCCACTAGAGGCAGCAAATAACAGGTTCACCACAGTCTTGTTCTGGAACACAAATCATACCCACCTGAGATTAATTGTGGTTTTGAACCCACCCATGCCTAGCTCTGTCCTGTGACCCTCCTCCATGGATGCTTAGTCAGTGTATTGCTGAAATGTTGTGGAATGCTCAATTCTGAAATAGTCTTACAAGTCATCTGGGGTTTTCCTTACCCGAACTTCTCCCCCTTCACGCCGTGGGTCTAACTTCCGAGCACAGTGCCGTAGGTTGTCATAGTTGTGGAAATTGAAGAGAGACACTAACTTCTAGAATTATAAGCCAAAGATCTTATTTATTTACTCCTTGCACTTAGTAGGAGCTCAAAATTGCATTATTTATTTAAAATAGAAATGGCTACCATTAAATACATTTATTGCTTAATTAAAAAATATTAAGTACTATATGCAAAGCAGCTCACCTGGCAGAAGTTAATGCCCCTCTGGCTGTTCCCCAACTTGTCCAATGGAGGTGACAGACAAATCATTCCCATGACATTGGGTACCACCAGGAGTATAGCTCCTGACACAGCTGACTTGGCTGGCAGGCCCACCTGGGGGACAAAGTTGAAATTGAGGATGAGTTGGTGCCCCAAATTTGAGAAGATCAACAAGTAAGACTAGGCCAGGTGTGGTGGCTCACACCTGTAAACCTAGCATTCTGGGAGGCTGAGGCGGGAGGATCACTTGAGATCAGGAGTTTGAGACCAGCCTAGCAAAAGCAAGACCCCATCTCTACTAAAAACAGAAAAAATTAGCCAGTGGTGGTGCATGCCTGTAGTCCCAGCTACTTGGGAGGCTGAGGCAAGAGGATTGCTTGAGCCCAGGAGTTTGAGGTTGCTGTGAGCTAGGCTGATGCCACTGCACTCTAGTCCAGGTGACAGAGTAAGACTCTGTCTCAAAAAAAACCACAAAAAACCAAATAAGACTATACCAAGTGACTTAATGGGCAAGGCCACAACCCATCTCAACCTTTTGGCTTGTTAGTTAGCTTCTTTTCTTTTTTTCTTTTAAAATCATGGCAGCAGTTAGCTTCTTTTCTTACTCCTGTCCTTTCCTTCTCTTAAATTAGTTGATTCAGTTAGGAAATATTTGTTGAAATAGCCACAGCATTTTGTGCTGGATGCTGTGCTAGAACTAGGCCAGAGTCTCTCATTTAACTTACATTCTGGTGGTTAGGAGACAGGCAATAAACAGGTAAATAAACAGGCAAAAATAAATTTTAAAATAATTATAAATACTGAGAAGAAAAGAAGTCAAGTGCTGTAAACAGAGGTGGAAGGGGAGCCAATTGAGATAGGGTGGTCAGAAAAGCCTTTCTTTGGAAATGGTATCTAGACTGAGACCCAGAGAACAGCCAGCCATGTGAAGGGTGATTCAGAAGCTGCAACATCTTGTGTTTATATATTTGAGGAACTTGGTGTGTTTGACAAACTCCCCTAAGGATTTTCAACCTATTGCCTGGTTGAAAGTTTGTAAATCCACCTCTCTATCTTCAGAGACTCAGTGTTCTCTCTTTTTGGCACTGGGCTCATGGCATATGGATGGTAGGGCCAGAAACACTTACATGGAAGGCAAACTGGCCAGAGAAGTCATACATGCCACAGGAATGCATGAGGCTTAGGGTGTTGCGTACTGCTTCAGCGCTCAGCACACTCTCGCCTGTGATGGGGCAGATCCCGCCATTGGCGAGGGTGGCTGCCATGACACTCCCTGATTCACAGGTGACTTCCACAGAGCACAGCTATGAAGACAGGGATAGGTAAAGATGTGGTGTGGACCTGATGACGGTGGTCTTGGGTATAGAGCAATGTTCTCAGCATGTAGTTCCCCAGGTGTTTCTAAAGGACACCAGAACCACTAGAGAGGATTATTCCTCTTATCCCTCTTGTGGGTAGGCACAAGGAGGGCAATCTGTCCTGTTCCCTTGTCCCTGATCAGTGTTTGCTTACCTGGAAGTAGAGATCGAGGGCAGCCATCATGTCTACCCCCTTAGGAAAGCACTGCAAGGAAGACGAGGGGAAAGCATTTTGCAGAGCATCAGCCGCCTTTCACACTGCCAGGGTCTCAGCCAAAGTCCCCAATCCCTACTGCCCTTCCACCAACAGCAGAATTCCCAGGGACTTTCTCTACCAGCCTCTCCCAGTTACCTTCTTTTCCTTGAGATAATAGCCGATGGCATAATTCCGATCCCCTGTTTCCTTCTCTGACTGGAATCTGAAGCAAACACCCAATTTAGTAGTAGAAGTTTGAGGAGTGGGTGTTGGAAGAAGGGGAAAAATTACCTTCCCTGAGAGAGACAGAACTACATCACACATCAGACTAAGTCAGCCTCTCTATAACTTCTCACAGTAATATTAGAGCAAACACTCAGCATAGCTTTGCTATAAAATGTACAGAAACAAAACCAAAAAATCACCCCAAATTGTCCAGTCACAGGTTCCCTAGATTAGATGACTAGACAATTTGGGGTGGATTTTTTTTTGCTCTAGTCTAGGGAAACTGGTGAGGCTTTTGTCTTTGGGTCTTGGCAAGAAAGGGCTCAGGCACAAACCATCACATTGCCCTTCTCATTACATACTAATTAGAAATGGAACAAATTATTTTACGAAGTAAATAAATGTCAATGAAGGGGCTCAGAGGAAGCTAGGAGGCCAGAGTTCCCCTGGGATGTTTTCCTCCTAAGATTTCCCCCTTTCCGTCCCCCATCCCATGTATATACCCACCCCCACCCCCCGACAATGCATTCAGCTGATCCTCTGAACAGGGGCCTTACGTGGCATTGCTGAAACCCACGTATTCATTCCCAGCCATTTTGTTCAGATATTGCAACACCTGGAAGAGAAAAAGGCATGGGAGGCACCACTTGACTAAAGACCTCAACTTAACACAGCCGAGGCTAACTACACAATCCTTATCAAGAGGTTTTCTGAGGCCAGCAGATTCCCACAGCTCTGGAAATAAGACTTCTAGTGTGGGCTGGTGCACCTGATAGTGGGTTAGAGCCCGGTACTGGGGCAGCTGGAGAGGACATGCCATGGAGAAAAATAGCTGGGGGCTGAGTAGCAAGGGAACTTACAAAATCAAACTTCTCCGCTTTGTTACAGTCCATCTGCAGACAAAGAGAAAAGATGTGAGTATTCCAGGAGGATGACAGAGGGAAGGCTCGGGAGGACCTAGTGGAGTTGAAGTGTTAGACTAGACTTCCTAGTGGAAATGTGTTATATTTCACAATGATTTTTTTTTTTTTTTGAGACACAGTCTTGCTCTGTTGCCCTGGGTAGAGTGCAGTGGTGTCACTGCAGCTCACTGCAACCTCAAACTCCTGGGCTCAAGTGATTTCCTGCCTCAGCCTCCTGAGTAGCTGGGACTATAGGTGTATGCTACCGCTCTTGGCTAATTTTTTCTATTTTTGGTAGAGATGGGGTCTTGCTCTTATTCAGGCTGGTCTTGAACTTCTGACCTCAAACAATCCTCCCACTTCGGCTTCCCAGAGTGTTAGGATTACAAGCGTGAGCCACTGTGCCTGGACAAAATGACGTTTTTTTAAGAAAAACAAAAACCCAACTGAGACTTTTTTATACCCATGTATATCTAGTGATCTTAAAAACCAAACCAAGCTGGGCACCTGAGTTTCGGCTACTCTGGAGGCTGAGGCGAGAGGATTGCTTGAGCCCAGGAGTTTGAATCCACACTGGGCAACATAGCAAGAGACTACCTTTTAAAAAATGGACAAACAAAAAAACCCAAACCATTTAGATTTTATTATCAAGGAATGAGTGTACAGGCCGGGCGCAGTGGCTCACGCCTGTAATCCTAGCACTCTGGGAGGCTGAGGCGGGCGGATTGTTTGAGCTCAGGAGTTTGAAACCAGCCTGAGCAAGAGAGAGACCCCATCTCTACTAAAAATAGAAAGAAATTAATCGGACAACTAAAACTATATAGAAAAAAATTAGCCGGGCATGGTGGCGCATGCCTGTAGTCCCAGCTACTTGGGAGGCTGAGGCAGAAGGATCGCTTGAACCCAGGAGTTTGAGGTTGCTGTGAGCCCGGCTGACGCCACGGCACTCACTCTAGCCCGGACAACAAAAGCAAGACTCTGTCTCAAAAGAAAAAAAAAAAAAAGAAATGAGTGTACAGATAACCTCACTGCATCAATGAGCCTCACTCATCCTGAGTTTCACCCCCTTTCCATTCTCAATCCAAAGCCTCATCCCTCATGCCCATTTTCATCTTCCTGACTCCAGTCTTGTCCCCAAGCCCCACCCCATACCTGATCTCCATCCCCATTCCTTACACCCACGTTAGAATCTGACTCCCATACCCATCTCCAAGATGGAATGGAGTAGCAGGAATGGGATGAGAGTGTCTGCTACATATATTGTAATATTCAATTATATTCATAACTGAAATAAAGCTAAAGATTTTAGCTGGGAGTCAAGTCCAACAGGGCCTACTTAAGTGGGAATGGGATGAGGCAGATTCCAGATACAGGGTTGTAGACAGAGCCATCACAGAATGAGGGGAGAGACCTGGCCTGGTCTCCTCCCCCAAACTCATTGCTTTCTGCACGTCTGTCAACTGTAGAGTCAACACTGCTGGGACTCTGACACCTGAATCCCTGGGGGAAGGGTTCCTAACACCACCTTCCCCAGGAGGGGCTGTGATTGGCTCCAGAGTGTTGCTGCCCAGCTGCTCCCAGGTTGTTGCTCAAGCCCTGGGAGACCTACAGCTGATGGACCAGTCTGACACCCTTATTCAAGGCCAACTCACAGTTCCAGGTGACGTGAATAACTGCCCTGGCCTGGCCATTCACCCTTTTCTCCACGTGTCCCTCACCGAGAAGTGACCAATCAGTACCTAATAGTGCTGTCCTCCCTCTGTCTCTGGCATTTGGCCCTTGGTCCTAGGCAGGGTTCAGGACCTGCTCACTTCTCTAAGGGCCAGGAAGCTGTGGGCTCTAGACTCGTGTGGGTGGAGGCAGGGAACAGTACAGGGTGGGGGTTGGGGAGGTGGTGCAGTCCCTTTTACTAACATCCTCAGCATTACACGTGGGTCCCTGGTGTGTTCTCATGTGCCTCCTGGGGACCCTTAAAGGAGTCAGAGCCTCACCAGTTTCCCTGGACTGCTGAACAGATATGATGGATACAGGATCAAGGGAGCTTAGAGAATAATACCTTTCAGAAGGTTAGGGTGGCACTGACCTTGATCAGGGAGCTGACGACAATGGCACCAGCATTGACCATGGGGTTATGGGGAATTCCTGGAGAAATACAAGCCACCCAGAGTCTTATCAGCTACTAAATAAAGCCTCCCTTGCAGCCTGCCCACTCTGTAGGTTAGACAAGAAATATTTCTTTGCTGGGGAGAAAAGAATGACAGGTCTAATCAGGAAGGTCAGAGAAACAAAGAAAGACCCGTGGGGGAGGGGTGGGGATAAGAAGAAGGGGGCGGCTATGAGTTTGGTCTGATTCCTGGTAGTGCTCACCTTCCTCATTGAGGGAGAGCTTGTTATAGCGCAGGCCGCTGGGCTCTTTGCCCACAAACTTGTGCACGTAGTCAGTGCCTAGGGTGCTTATGGAGATGGCATAGGTGAGGGGCTTCACACAGGACTGCAGGCAGACGGGGATCTTTGTGTGGCCCACAGAGTGCCTGGAGGAAGGCAGACAGGTGCCATGAAAGGGGCTGGCCTTTGTTCTGCACCTGTGCCCTGCCTCCCCTTCCACTTGCCCAGCATCTCACCGCTGACCATCCACAGTGCACAGGGAGACACCCCACAGGTCTGGGTTAGACTTGGCCAGCTGAGGGATGTAGGCTGCCACCTGGACATAAATGAGAAGAGAAAAGGGAGATGGATATGGAGAAGAGGAACAAAGTTCAGGTTGAGGATCAAGAAATCTTTTAGATAAAAGCCAAAATTCTGTCTCCTGCTAGACAAAGAGGTTCCCTCCTGCCTGTTGCTCCCAGAAATGCCCAAGCTTTAAATACTAGAGGGCTAGTGTTACAGCTCTTTAGAATTTGTCTAGCAGGTTTTCAGGTCCTCACTGGAAGACCCAAAATAAAAAATAAAAAAATAAAAAAGTACTAGAGAGCCTTGTTTTTCTGTAGCTCCGATCTTGTAGGAATGGCAGTAAAGCCCATGGGAGGTAAAAAAGGAGAATTCTGGGATCAGCTTCCCTTTTTAGTTCTTAGGCTTAATTACCCTGTAAGTCTCTTTGAAGGCTCTATTGAGCCTTTATGACAATTGACCTTAATTGACCATAAAAACCTCAGATTCCCTCACCTGCTCTAGGAATCACATGTATAGAAACAACATGAAGCCACTTCCCTATTTTTAGAGGTTCTGCTTCTTGTCTCTCATCCATTGGATTCCCAGCCCCAGGAAATCTCCGAGAAGCAAGGTATATCTGGCCCAGATCCCTTGTCCCTCCCTTAGTCCCCTGGGCCTCACTTTGCCTCCAGTGAGCTCTTTGGCATCCTCAAAGATGCGATCCACATGGCTCGTGAACTCCTCAAAATCAGGAATGACAAACTTCTTTCGGAATGCCTGGGTCAGGAGTACAATGTTGCTGCTCACACACCTGGATCCCAGACATGATTGGATTAGGGGGCTGGAGAGATGCAGCTGGGACTCATTCTGGAGCCATGGAATTTGGGAGTAAAGGAGGTTGTGAGTGGTCAGCAGGTTTGGGATCAACAGCTGTGTGACCTTTGGCAGGTCAGTTTATCTTTCTAGGTCTTAGTTTCCTAGCCTCTAAAATAAAGGGTTGTAATGACATGGAAAGACCCTATGTCTTGGGATATGAGAAAAAATAAATACCAGAATAGTATGACGTATACCATGTCACCTTTATATTTTAAAAATCCTAAATCATATAAGTATATTTATATATATTCATATATGTATGTAAATACACAGGACGTTATAGATACCCACTAATCTGTTAACAATGTTTACTTTTGGGAAAAGGGGACTGGGATTGGGTAGGGAGGGAAAGGAGAACCTGTATTTCTATATTATTTGAACTTTTATAATGAATATTGATGTATTACTTGTTTATTATAATAAGTAATAAAATGAAGGGTTGAACTATACAATCCACAAGATTCCTCCGCCTTGCTCTGATAGTCTGTGTCCACAAACAGTTTGGAGAGCAGTGCCCTTGTTTCTGGGGCCCTCACTTTTGGAAGAGATCTCGGTCTAAAAGGCCACCACTGCTGGATTCTTGGACCATGCGGTGCATCTGACTCATACAGTCCTGGAGCCGGGGATCTGTTGTCTGTAGTCCGGTGGCCTTCAGTGCCTTTAGGGGAAAGAAGAAGCCTGGCAAGGTCAGCTACAAGGACAGTGATGTGGATACCCAATTAGCTCAGCCCCAACTACTATAATAGATGGAACAAATGGGTTTGGAGACTAAGAAAGGAGGGAATGGAGCAGCTTTGAAGGCTAACAAGGGTTTCCTGCCCTTTTTCATGAGTCAGAGGGTTTAATCTTCCGACCTTGGGGCAGGGATGGGATTGTCTTTTCAGCCTAGGCATCTACTGTTATCCATTTGTATTCTTCATCATGTATCAACCCATTAGCTGCCCTGCAGTTGTCCTACCCTCCTTTCCCCACTTTCCAGAGGTCTTTAGGGATTAGGGTTCTGAACAGGTAGAGAGCACCTTACCGTAGTGAACTTGTGGATAGGGATTCGTTCCTGCCCCTCCGCAATGGTGTAGAAAAGCAAATCACCCAGGCGGGACAGCATGCCACTCTCTGATGAATCACTGTTTGGGGGCAGAGACAGGGGAGGAGGGCAGGAGCCTGAGAACTGCTACCTACTCCTCCTTCTGGAACATGGGCTTATAAGTAGGTGGGTGTCCTCATTCTATGTCTCTTCCCTGAACCATCTGATCTATCTTTCTAATTCTAACTTTCACATCTGTCCTGAGAAGTTGTAAATCTTACTCTCTAGCTTTCTGTTACTCCTAACCTTCAAACATTTATTTCTAGCTGCCTTCTGGACCCTTCTACTTTTAGATGCCCTACAGGCACTGAAAACTCAACATGTTCAAACCTGAGTCATCTCATGTCCTTCCCTCTTCTCCTCCTCTTGTGTTTCCCATCTGGGTTAATAGCATTACCATCCACCTAGGTGCTAAGCTGGAAATGTGGAATCATTTTGGTAGTTCCCACACCTTAAGTCCATATGCAATTGGTCACCAACATTTGATGAATCTACCTTCATAATGTCCACAAATCCACCTTCTCTTCTCCTGTTCCCCTGTGCCAGCATGGAGTAGTAGAAAGAATCAGAGTTTGCCCCTTAATAGCAAATCAGTGTCCTTGTAGCTGACCTGTGATCTTGAGCAGGTCACTTAATATTTCTGAACCTGCTTCCTTATCTGTAAAATAAGGGTAGTAATGTCTACTTCACATGGGTGAAGTCCTCATGAAGATAATATTCCATGAAAAACTGTCTAATACAAAGTAGATGCTCAATTAATCATGCTTTTTATCATCAGCTCCTTATTGTCTGTTACCTAATTGCCACTATACTCTCTTGACTTCAAATCAATCTTCCGCAATATGCCAGTTGTCTTTCTAAAATACAAATGTAATTTCTCTACTTAAAAACCTTTGGTAGGCCAAGTGTGGTGGCTCACATCTGTAATCCTGGCACTCTGGGAGGCCAAGGCAGGAGGATTGCTTGAGGTCAGGAGTTCAAGACCAGCCTGAGCAAGAGTGAGACCCCGTCTCTACTAAAAATAGAAAGAAATTAGCTGGACAACTAAAAATATATAGAAAAAATTAGCCAGGCATGGTGGCATGTGCCTATAGTCCCAGATATGGAGGCTGAGGCAGGAGGATTGCTTGAGCCCAGGAGTTTGAGCCCAGCTGATGCTACGGCACTCTAGCCCGGGCAACACAGTGAGACTCTGTCTCAAAAAAAAAAATAAAAAAAGAAAGAAAAGCAAGGTGCAGAACAATTGTACAGTATGATACCATTTGTATGAAGAAAAGGTAAAATAATATCAACATGTATTTTACTCATAAACTATCTCTGGAAGGCTATAGAAGATATCATTGACATCGGATTGTCTCTGGGGAGAAAAATTTCCTAGGAATTTATGCTAAGAAATAATTGAATAAGTGCACAAGAGTATATAATAACCAAACTGAAGACTGGTTAAATAAATTATGATTCTTCATACAATGGAATCTTTTAAAATGGAAAAATTGAGGCTATTAAAAATGACAATGTCATATGCATACACATATTCAATGATATTAAAAGCTGTCCATAAATGGAAAAGACAGGTTACCAAAGAATATGAATATTATGATCCCATTTTTGTTAAATTATATACATGTATGGAATATATATCACCATATTAATTGGTTATCTCTAATATTGAGATCTTTATTTTCTTTTTGATATTCTGTATTTTGTTTTTCTTTTAAAGTCAGAAATACAATAAAGCTAAATATTAAACAAATGTACACTTTGAATAACAAGCATTTCCTCTTTGCTGTCCTCCTTTCCCCCCAACACAGAAATCCCTCTCCCTCATGGTGTCATACTCCTAGAGCACATTGCTTTCCATCACTTTCAGCCCCTTCTGCCCAGGGATCATCAGTCCAAGGGAGTTACCAGGAGGTTCCCTGGAGCATAGGTAGCCATAGGCAGGAGAAACAAGGTCCCCTAAAAACACTTCCATCACCCTACTCCATTGGGTAAGAAGGTGTGTATGGGGGAACTAGGGATACCTCTAGCTCCTCACCCACCCAGAAGGTGGACAGGTGAGGGAGGTTAAGGCTTTGCTCTATTCCACCACCATTTCTCCCAAGATGATTATCTGGGAGGAAGTTGGGGTGAAGACTAGAACAGGAGGGAGAAGACTTATCCTTTAAATGTTCTGGGTCTCTTTGAGAAGAGCCTGATGGAAAAGTACTGCGTAATAATGATTATTAATAAAAAAAAAAAAACCTATTGGTCTGCTACCCCTCAGGACAGGGACTCAAGTAGTGGTAAGGTACTGCTGTGTCAGCCGGCTACTTTAATCATGGTGTGTATATGTTTCTGAGTGTCATGAGGTAAATGGCAACCGCAGGGGAGATGGGCCATTTCCTGTTCCATGGTATAATAGGGCAGGGGCTACTTGGACAGCGTCTATGCTGGACCTCCGGGAAAGACAAGATTTCCTGCTCAGTACGGTCGGCGTTTTGGAGGAAAGAAGGGTCAGCCACCAAGTGTTCCTGGGCAGTAGGGGAGAGAAAGGTTCGGCATCCTGGGCGGAAGTGCCCAAGGGAAAAGAACCCTTTAAATCGAGGAGCCTGAGCAGCATAAATAACGGCTCTGACTGACTCTGGTTTGCGAAATTTACTTCTTAATGACCTTTTCTCCATTATAATTATTCTCCCATTCAACAACCAATTTGGAATACCACCTTTATTCTACAGATTAGGGAGTCCTGCTTACGCACACGCCCGACACATACACACGTACCTGCGCACCAATAATACATGCGCATTACACGTTACCTGCTGAGGACACGCAGAATCACAGACACACCACATAGACACAGACCCAAGTACACTTGGACTTGGGGGGCAGGAGGCTGTTCCATACCTACGCATCCCCTAGAATACACACGAGGACCCGGGAGGTGAGAGAGGGTAAGGATGGGCAGGCGTGCACTCGGCCCAGCACTCAGACACGTGCACCAAACAACACTCCGCACCCATCTGCACTCCCAGTTAGGTACGCACCTTGGACAGGCACCATCTCGAGGGCCGACCTGCCCAAACGCCCTCCCCGGCCACCGCACGTCACCGCCCAAGCGTGGCGGACCCAAAGCCCCAAACCTAAATAAAAAGGCATCGCAGGCTAGTGAGCGAGGAGAGGAGAGGGGAGATGAGAGGCGCTCCTTAGGGAAAGGGACTGGAAGCTAGCGAGAACCACAGTGGGAGTGGGAGCGCGCCTGTCCCCTGACCCCCGTCCCACGAGTCTTACTGATCCTGGTGCTGTGGCTGGTGGCTGTGCGGTGTCTCTCTGCCTTGCGCCGCGGCCTCACTGAGGAGGTGCCGGACGCCCCCGCCAAGGAGGGGGCTGCGGCTCAGGTGACCCCAGCCTCCCCGCCGGCAGTCATCGCCCGCCCGGCTCAGCGCATTCTGCAGAGCCTTCATAGAGCGCATGCCCCCAGCGCGCCGCCGGCTCTGCCTGAGCGCCCAGGCCGTCTGACCGGTGGTTAGAAGGGAGGGGCGGAGAAGTAGCAGGCGAGACCAGGTGCGGGGGAGCTGTGATGGAGTGCTGCGCTTGGGAGATGAAGAAGAGGGGCACTGTGGGTGGGGTTGGAACTGGAGGAGGGGCCAGCCCCTTCACAGCATGCGCCAAGGTTAGGTGCACCCACTCCCCCCAAGACAGGGGATAAGTGAGGAGTGTGAGGGATAAAGGAGAACCTGGGTGGGGGTCTAGTGGGTGGAGAGGGGGCAGTGTCTGGGTGTCGAGATGGACAACGCCCAAATCCAATGACTGAGGAAGCAAAAACCTTGAGGCGGGGAAAGGGAGAGGCTACCCAATGAGAGCAAAGCAGTGGGCCGCCGTCCGCGCAAGCCTGCGGATTTTTCTGCCCGTCGGCCCCGGTGACTGGCAGTGAGTGCGGACGCTGAGGGCGGGAAAGCCGAGGCCGAGCGGCTGCGAAGCCTGCGGCTCCGCGGAGACACGGCGGGGTTGGGAATATGGAATTCTCGGATAGAGAGGAGTGCGCTGCCTCAGGAGAGAAGGATAAGAGTGAGCCTTGTTCAGGAGGTTCCTTAGAGAGCTTCGACATTCGAAGGCCAAAATCGGCCCTCGGTAACCCGCCGCGTAACGCGGTGCGGAGGCCAAACGCATCCTAGTCACTGATGCGCGGTGGTGAGTGAAGCGTGGGATGGCCGCAAAATACCGCGAGCAGAAACAGCCCCCGAACTCTTTAGTGAGGCCTTGGGGCGGCGAAAAGGGAGTGGTTGTTAGAATGTGTGGGTTCTAATTTTATCTCTCCTCTACCATTTATTTGGTGGCTGTGTAGGACTTGTTTACTTATCGGTAAAGTTCAGATATTAAAATAAGGCAGCGCACACAAAAACATTTTATAAACCATGAAGTGCTCCCAAATTTTTGCTATTTTAGTTACTTGCCCTTGTCCTCCTCACGGATAGAAAAGAGATGATGTGCAGAAAGAATTTTGAAAACTAAAAAATTCAGAACTTTTGCCATTTGCATTTGGGAGAACTTTTTATCTCCACAGCGCCTAAAACAACATCTGTATTTAGTAGGGACTCATTATGTAAATAGTAGCTGTTACTGAGTGCCTATGGTGTGCCAACCACTTAGTTTATCTCGCTCTCTTACCAGAGACCTACAAAGCAGTTATTATTAGTCTCATTTTGAAGATGAGGAACTAAGACTTGCAAGTTAGGACTTCATGGATAAGGTAACCCAGCTAATAAGTACGAGAATCAGAAATCAGACCCAAGTCTTTTTTTTCTTTTATTTATTTTAATTTGGGGGGTGGGGGGTTCTTCCTGTGAGGACCGGAAAACCTGCTAGACAAATTCTAAAAGAGCTGTAACACTAGACCGAAGTCTTTTTGACTATAAGACTCTTTCCATTATGCAGCCCTTCCCCCAAATTAGCCATTTTATTGAATTTTCCTAGGAGAATGACCCCATTCCTAAAGGAGGTATTTTATGTAAAACCATTATGATACATTACTAGGAGTTTTCTCTTGAGGCAGCTCTAGCTGTATCACACAATACTAATTTTCTTTTCATTTTTGGATTAAAATGAGCATCAGGGGTTAACCATGGGAAAATAAATATCAAAACTATACTCTGGTATGGTCCGTGGAAAGGCAGTTCTCCTTTTTCTTGGTTAGAATTGGAGGGTTTATTTGGTTTGAAACCAGATGGAATGACCTTTACTTTGTTTTTGTTTCTGTTTGTTTTTCTTTTCTGTAGTCATTCTCTGTCTGCCCTATCTGTTCTCCTGTTAATGGGACTACCTCTAATGCAGGGACTCCGGCTTGCTGTTTCATGCTTGCTTTGCCCAAGAGGTAAAGTTCTGGGTCTTAATAGTTAGTATAAACTCAATCGAGTATTAGTGTTTTCATACATAACAGGCTAATCTTATCCTTGTTTTGTGAGAATGTTGTTATTCTCTGAAGCTTTTTAATCTGTCCAAAACAAAAATACCTTACATTAGGGAATTTCTAAACATTACCCAGAAGTTATTTGCTTCCTTTATTTCCTGTCCCCACTTCTTACAATCAGTAGTGAGTTCTTCACTCTTTCTCCCAGCACTCTTCTGCTAAGAGGAACTGGTTGGGTAGCAAAGAAAATCTACCTTTAGAAGCTGACGTTCTTGGCATAGGCAACTAGCCCCAGCTGCACTTTGTTCTTTGGACTGATTCTGTTTCCAGCAAAAGGTTGCTATCTTTGCATGAGGATGCAGCGTGAACTGGGGACTTGGGAGGCCTATAGTACTCTGTAAAGTATAAGATACTCAAGAAGAACAAGTTTGTCATCCCAGGTGGTTAGAGTTTGGCAGGGTCAGGTCCTTTTTTGTTTGTGATTTGAAAAGGACTCCTCTAGTTATAGTTGTGCTAAAGTATTAGCCAACTATGACATGGCAGCTAGAAATGAGGGTTTTCATAAGTAAAAGAAAGCTTTTCTATGTGTCTCTAACAGTGGGGTTTTTAGGTCAGTCCCTGACTGTGCCAGCATTCTGTGGTGTGTGAAGTAGGGTTGGTCTTAATGATTTTGAATCCTTTTCTTATTTAAGAAAAGCTAAATCCTCTGTGGTAGAGAATTGGAAACGTGATGTTTGTATTCAGAGAATGTTTTCTTATGATTTAGAGACTCATTTGTTCTATTCTTTAGACTGTAGCTGGGATGTTAATTAGTCCAAGTGAAAGATTATTTCAGATTTTTTAATTAATACTAGTGATACTATTGATGCCAACTCCTTCCTGCCTCAGTTTCTCCATTGGTAAAAGATAAAGTTATATTTTACAGGGTAGGAGCTCTGACATAATCAGCTTCCATTCATTCAGTAAATATTTATTCGTTAGCCTTCAGTGTGCCAGCCCCATTGCGGGGGAATCCAGAAATTTAAAAAAATAAATAAACCAGTTTCTACTGGGAGAAATGAGAAAGCTAATGTTTAAAATTCTTAATGGGCCAGGGGCCGTGGCTCATGCTTGTAATCCTAGTACTCTGGGAGGCCAAGGTGGGAGGATCACTTGAGGCCAGGAGTTCAAGACCAGCCTGAGCAACAAATGAGATCCCTGTTTCTATGAAAAATAGAAAAAATTAGCCAGGCACAGTGGCGTGCGCCTGTAGTCCCAGCTACTTGAGAGGCTGAAGCAGGAGGGTCGCTAGAGCCAAGGAGTTTGAGGTTGCAGTGAGCTATGATGATGCCACTGAACTCTAGCTGGGGCGACAGAGTGAGACTCTGTCTCAAAAAAAAAAAAAAAAATTCCTACTGAAAAGTGCTGCGATGTGGAGATATGCAGAAGGAAGTATAAAGAAAGGACACCTAACTAGGCTGGGGGTGAAGGGCAGTTGAGACAGAGGGGACCTCAGGGAATGTTGGGTGGCAAGAGCCACCTCTTAAAGGATATGAGGTGTTAGCAGAGAGATGAAAAGAAAGGTGTTCCAGGCCGGGCGCGGTGGCTCATGCCTGTAATCCTAGCTCTCTGGGAGGCCGAGG